ACCTCCCACCTCTACGCCGCCTTCATCATCACCACCCTCCTCACAGAGCCCCCCTCTGAGCTGTTCTGTCCAAGCTAGCGAAACTAGTCCAATTTATTCGGCTGCACCAACTTTTCCCAATTCCAGCGCTGACATTTTCCCTGAACCACCAACCCAGTCCTTTCCCAACCCCTCTGGAGCCCCCATCCAGTATCCACCTCCAGCTTATCCGACTGCTAAAACCAACTTTCAGGTGCCAATGATCCCGGATTACCTGTTCCCTCAGCAACAGGGTGAGCTTAGTCTTGTTACGGCTGACCAGAAGCCCTTCCCAGCCCTTGAGACCAGAGCACAGCAGCCTTCCCTTACACCGCTGTCCACTATTAAGGCATTTGCTACTCAGACTGGCTCCCAAGAGTTGAAGACCCTCAACACTAACTATCAGTCCCAGCTGATCAAACCCAGCAGGATGAGGAAATACCCAAACCGTCCCAGCAAGACCCCTCCTCATGAACGACCCTATGCCTGCCCAGTGGACTCCTGTGACCGGAGGTTCTCACGGTCTGATGAGCTAACACGGCACATCCGCATCCACACAGGACAGAAACCTTTCCAGTGCCGCATTTGCATGCGGAACTTCAGCAGGAGCGACCACTTGACTACGCACATCCGCACACACACAGGAGAGAAGCCATTTGCCTGTGACATTTGTGGCAGAAAGTTTGCCAGAAGTGACGAGAGGAAGAGACACACTAAAATTCACCTTAGGCAGAAGGACAAGAAAGTAGAAAAGGCAGCTCCGGTCTCAATTGCTTCCCCAGTTTCTGCCTACTCATCCTCTGTGACTACATCCTACCCCTCCTCCATTGCCACCACTTACCCGTCGCCAGTGCGCACAGTGTATTCCTCCCCTGCTCCCTCTTCCTATCCGTCCCCTGCACACACCACATTCCCATCACCTTCTATAGCAACCACTTACCCCTCTGGCACTGCTCCTTTTCAGACACAAGTGGCCACGTCCTTCTCATCTCCAGGAGTCACCAACAATTTCAGCTCACAGGTGACCTCGGCACTTTCAGACATGACATCAGCCTTTTCTCCAAGGACAATTGAGATTTGCTGAGATTACCTTCCGGAACAGGAGAATTCACCTTTTCCATTGGTATTATCTGACATGGAGTCTCCAATTACTCCCTCAATGCCCTATGTTGCAAGGCTGTTTAAATTTTCTTTAAACTTCAGCTGCCTGAAACAACTGCCATTTAAGTTTTCCACCTCTGTTGAATGACTTAATTTGCATGGACTGTGGATATAAGTTCAGTATCATTTTCCCTGTAAACAATAGTCTTTTATTAGGAAGAAAGGACTTTTGATTAAGTATGTAGCTGATGTAAATTGTACATGTGTCATGGTTTTGCTTTCCTTTAGGTACTATTGATGTGAAAAATCCTTGCTTAACCATAATGTATTATTTGGAGTTCACAGGGCCATATTTTGTAAATGTCAATTCTATTTCAGTGACAATGCCGTAACAAGTTTCAAACTTCTATGGGAACAGCACTTACTGTATTTGAGCATGTTAGAGTGATGCTATGTAAATATCTCCCAATGAGACACTCACATGTGGCAGAAGCTTTGTTTTTAAAGTTACAAGTTACAAGTCTTGGTGCCTTTTTGTGAAGCCTTGCTGACGTCATGCATTTGTGTGAATGGATGCTTTGCATCTTGCCTTAAAGTGAAAGGTATGTTCCTCAAAGAATGTAAGAGAGAGCAGGGAATGGGTGGGGAGGGGAGCACCAGAAAGCCCTGGGGTCAGAATGTAAGCAAAAAAACCACCCCACACCTCTCAAAGTCTATTTTTGCTACAAAAATGTAAATTTATATATATATATATATTCAGGAGTTGGAATGTTGTAGTTACCTACTGAGTAGGCAGCATTTTTTGTATGTTATGAACATGCAGTTCATTATTTTGTGGTTTATTTTTACTTTGTAATTGTGTTTGTTAAAATGGAAGTGATTGTTTGGCTTCTAAACACGTTGAATGCGCTTTCTTGCCAATGGGATATTTGGTGTACAATACCCTTCAGAAAATAAATAAATAAATAAATATCAAAGCGTGTGGGCTTCCACATTTTCTTTTAAGTTGCTGCACAGGAAGACTGTGGTGCAGCAACCCTGACTCCTTGAGTAGCTGAGAAGTAACAAGTGCTGCTTGTCTCCTGGGCAAATACCCACATAAAGAAAGGAGGGGAGACCAGTCTCTCTAAGTCCCACTGTCACAAAGACATGGATGGAGCACACACGCCCTTGCATTAGGTGCACTACCTGCTTTTTTGAAGTACGCACAATTCCTGTTTTCTGGCTTCTCAAGAAGCGTGTGAGCTAATCTTAGGAAGAAAAACAATTCTCCCAGTGCTGAAAATAAGATTTGAAAATTAGAATCTCAACTTTGTGTTCATAGGTAGTCAGAAATCTTACTGGATGGCAAGATAACAGAGCAGTTTCTAGGCTGGAAATACAACAAGCTCAGTCCAAATGGCTGGTCAATGGAAAGTAGCCCTACTCAGCTGAGGGCTATTGTAAGTTCCTCCTTGACACAACACATGATATAGAAGTATGTGGGCCTGATAGGCTTTAATACAGATGTTTCAGCGTTGAGAGGAATACCCTTCCTTACGTGGTGGCTTGAAATACACTTCAGGAAGTATGTGACCCCTCTGCAGACCGAATTCAGAGGAGTTTGCATCCATGAGAACTGGTAGGGCAGGTACGGAGGAGGGTTCTGGTGTCAGTCCTTTCAGGAGGGCTCTCTACAAATCGCTAATGTTTAGGGTTGTTAGGAGCTGAGATGCAGATAGATACTTGTGCGCACCAAGCACAGTGTAAACTGGCAAGCAGTCTCTGTTGGACACAGCATGCCCTACTGCTTGCCAAAATCGACCCCATTGCCTAGGAAGGGCAACCTGCTAAAGCTCCTGGGTTAGACCCTCTTCTTGGGGATGCAGCCCAACCCTGGCAAATGGCAGCAATTCTGGAAGATACCCGAGAGCTAAACTGCTGGTAAATCCCAGTCTGTTGTGTCTCAGGTGGGACTGTCCTCTGCGGGTTGGGACAAGCTGTGGGGAAGGGCCCCTGCTGCTCTGTCTCTGTGCTGGTTTGTGCCTGCATTGCTGGGTGTGGTCCACAAGCTGCTCACAGTGACTTAGGCCTGGCCCTGCTGGGCCCTTTCAGAGAAAAGCACTAGCTCTTTTCAACCCAAGGGCTCCAGCCTCTGGCCAAGGCAGGCTGACTGGCCAAGCCAAATATGTGGCTTCACACTGTCTGAGCCATGTCAGAAGCCACAGAAATCCACTTATGGGAGACAAGACATTGAGGAAGGTCCTTCAAATGTGATGCTTCAAAGGAAGAAGCAAATAACGTTATGTAAAGCTAACCAATTTTTGGGTTTTTTTCCCCCCCACCTCTGGTTCCCAAAGCCAACAGCAAAATAAACAATTGGAAACAGCCCAAGCCCACTCTGATCTGTGGGCACTGCTCTGTTCAAGTGTTTAGAATAAATAGAACTATTCTATTCTATTCTAATAGAACTAATATAGACCAGACTAGACCAGACTAGAATAGTTCAGTTGGAAGGGACCTAGGGCCTACAATGATCATCTAGTCCAACTGCCTCACAGCTTCAGGGCTGATCAAAAGTTAAAGCATACTATTAACGGCGTTTTAGAAATACCTCAAACACTGACAGGCACAGGGTATTGACCACCTCTCTAGGAAGCCTGTTCCATTCAACCACCCTGTCAGTAAAGAAACGTTTCCTAATTTCCATTCTGAACATCCACAGATGTGGCTTTAAACCATTCCCATGTGTCCTGTCACTGGATACCAGGGAGAAGAGATCAGCACCCCCTCCTCTCCACCTCTCCTCCTCAGGGGGCTGTAGATGTTGCTGTATTTTCAAGCTAGTCTCTGCTGACTCCTGGTCTAGCCTTCTGGAATTGTGGTTGTGCTAAAAACTGACCAAGTGGGCTCTCAAGCAATGCCTGAGGGTGCCTCAGGTTCTCCAGAGCACTTTGTACAGAAGTGAGCAGTGATGGTAATTACCACACTTAAAGAAGATAGAAGATAGGTGCTCATGGTGTGTGCGTTCAAAATGGACTGAGTCAGGCAGTGTTGCAGGGCTATACGGAATGAAGGCTAGAGCACCCTTTCTAGCAGCAGGGCATGTCTCTGACGTCTGCCCACAAGACTGGCCTGTGGATGTCAAGGCAGCAGTGCAAAGGAAGTGACAGGATCTGCAAGGCCTCTCTAACTCAAAGAAATGCTGGTCCTACTTGCTCCATGCTTTCTCCACTTTGTGATGGCAAATCCTTTCAACTCATGGAGGCCCCTCCGCTCCATGGTCTTGTCCTTAAGCCTTCTCTTGAGGGTGTTGCAGTCTCCCTTGAAATGGAAGAATTCTGACCTCCCACAGCTGTGGGCATTGGTCACAGGCACTCCACAGGTAGCAGTGTCCAGCTGCAAGGATGTTCAAAGGCACTAAGCCACATACGTAAGGTTATTGTTGGCCCCACGGTAACCATTACTCAAAAAGCAATATGGCTGAGTAGTGTAAACAAGCAGTGTTCTCAGGGAAGGGCTCAGCACTTGTGCGCTGTAGCCTGTCTATGACAGCCTGCAAGCTGCCAAATGACACTTCCCATCAACTGGGGGGTCTGAATTGCATCTCACTGCAGTAAGCTCCCCATACCCTGGAACCTCTATTTTGGAGGTGGGGGGAAAAAAATAAAAATAAAAAATTGTGAAAACTGTTGATATGCCAACCAGGGCCACTTTAAGACAGAGACTCTTTGGTGTAACTTGCTAGAAAGTGCTCATAATTTAACTTTTGGCATTTAGTCTAAATTGCAATGAGTCATGCTTTGCATTTGATGTCCCTAACATAAATGAAAGAAAATGCATGGGGATTTTTGCTCCCACTCTTTTCATTACCTTCATCCCATAAAATGAAAGCAAATTCAGGGTTGAGAAAGCACCGACTGTACATTTTATGCAAGACCTTTTCTCTTGCTGTTAGTCTGAAAAAGAAAGGATTTGTGAATCTTTAAATGTTTGCTCCTAGTCTAACTGGGAGGGTAAGTTGGTCGCAAGGAGGCTGTTTCCAAGGAAACAACAGGCGTTGTCACGGGCCGAGGAACCCCCTCGCCTTGTGCAGGTAAGGGCCCGAAGCCCCGCACGAAGGGCGGCGGCGAGGAGAAGGTGGAGGAAGTGCAGGCCTCCAGCTCTTCCAGCTGCGGGCAGCAAATCCATCTGCCCGAATCAAAC